AAGTCTGGATTAAATTTAAAACAAAATAATCCCAATTAACCAAGCAAGCAAATTAAAAATATATATATTCAGTAAGAAAATGAGCGGTCTTTATGTTGTATATTTAAGAAATCCCAAGTGGCATTGGAGATGCTTCCTTTGGTAATGGGTTTCCCCCAGTGCAGTGCTGGCAATGAAGGAGCTGCAGGTGGAAGTGCCTCATTGCCCATTACAGCCCTGCTGAGCTCTGGCACTGCCCTGCTCAGCATCAGTCCTTCCCAAAAGCTGCTCTTCCCTCTTCCACCCCACAATCTGCACCACGCTTCTGAAGTTTATTTGCTGCGTAGTGGAACTGAAATATGTGCTGTACAGTGAGACAGTTCCTTGGAATGAAGTTATGTATGGATATCTCCTCCTGGTTGTTCCCTGCGTCCTGTTGGTCCATTACCCTTCCTGGCACTGCTTCATTCTCCTGCTGCTGTGTCACTCATGAATTATCTGATGCTGAGAGGTCCACACCACAGTGACCTTGTCTGGTTTTTCACTGATGATGTGTCAAGAACACCAATAGTTCTCTATAAATAAGGAATTTTGGAAACTCCCCAAAGGAAAAAGAGCTTGAGCGAGGGTTGGAAGGTCTGACAGAGCTCCTCTATTGCAGGAGCTGAGCACTTTTGAAAATCTCTCTTTAAAACACTTTGAAAAATGGAATTAAATTGCTGTGTTAATTGTCCTGTTAGTCTGTGAAATAGGTTCAGACAAGACCCACTCGCTGTGGGGGAGGTGGAGCTCACACAGAGTGCTGGGCTTTGGCAGAAGGGGCCAACTTGGATACAGGCTGAATTCGTGTGCAAGAATCATGTATTGTGTTGCTTTTCTTGGTGTTTCTTTTTGTGCTCTTAAAGATATTTCTGTTTTATTCGATGCACTTCTCCTCCAGGCTCAGCTTCTCATTTGTATCTGATGTTGTTTATGTTTGTATTCCTGTACCTTATGAAACATCCATCCAATTCCCGTGTAGCTGATTGTGTTGATCTCTAATACATCATTGGGAATTCACTGTGGATAAAGTAAGGGAGGTGGGATGTGAGCAAACAGGACCCTGTTTGAACTCCAAAGGCTTTAGTAATTGGTGAGCAGAATGAGAGAAACTGAGGTGAGCTGTGAATAGATTCATGTTTCTGAACGTTTTCTGGTATACAAATGCCCTGCTTTAGATGTGCTGCTTCTGTTATGGCACAAAGGACTTTGCTCCTTGGTGTAACTTCTGCATGCAGCAGCAGATTTGCCAATTGTTTGCACCATTTATACCATGGCAGAGCTGCCAAGAAATGTTCCTTATTGTTCTGACAACTGATTTACACGAAAGCTTTTTTGCAAATTGTTTTGCCTCGTTGTCTAATCGTCAACATTTGATTCTTGAATGTAAAAATCAGCTTGATATGCACTACTTGTGAAATTTCATAATAAAACATAATAGAGAGGGATTATCAAAGGGCTTTAGTAGGATTTGCTCTCATCATTATCTAAGGCTGTTGGGAATATTACTACCCAGTCTTTTACCAGCCCTACAGGAAGAATTGCAGGATATTTGTCCACTTACACGTGTTTCAGGAAGACTCCCCAGGACAGGACACATGGTGCTAGATTGGCAGCTCAGGACAACCTGTGCTGAGCTTGGATTATGGAATGGTTTTTGTTGTACGTGTGTTACTGTCCAGCCATGCTGCAGGGCTGGGGATGCCCTGCTGGTGTTGGCTGTGGACAAACAGGCTTCAGGTCCCACCCCATCCTGGAGGCGTTCAATGGGAAATCTCCCTCCAGCTGTCCATGCAAGCACTGGGATGTCACTGAGTCTCATTTTATACCTCTAGTAAAATGTTCTTCCTGTTGGGAACAAAGTGAAATGTGAAAATTGTAGATGAGTTTTGCCCAGAGAAAATGGCCAGTCAGAAACTTGAAGTAGTTTTATTTCAAGGCAATAAAAGCAATTATGTGCAGTTCACAGGATGCTGAAGCTGTTTGTTGTGCAATGTAAATGGTGAACGAAGAGAAGTATTGATGATTAAATCCTGACATGAGAGATTTCTACGTGAATAAAATCCAAGACCTAAACAGATTCAAGACTGTTAGTCATCCATCAGCTCACACCAAAGTGCTCAGCAGAGGAGGGCAAAGTCTTCAGGCATCTTGCTTGTGCAAAGTGAAGTTGCTGGCAGGATTTTGCACTTTGTGCAGACTGATGCTGCTCTGCCAAATAAGAGACAGTCAAGAGGCTTTATCGAAGTGGGATATATATATATATACATATTTTTTTCCATGGTCAGGAGCTCATATCAGTGGAACCTGATGGGAAGTTGAAAGTAAGGTTGCAGCCAGCTGTGAACTTGATGTTACCCTGGTGGGAGCTCATTAATATCTCAACAGGTATACTCATGCGTTATCTTAATTTGCACATGATCCTTAGGAAAATTGCCTTTCTCAAGTTTTCTAGTGACTGTCCTTTGCTGAGGAGGCTCAGGTGGGCCATTTCTTTCCTCCTTCAGTGAGATACTGGGGAGAAGGGAGCTACTGCATGGGCAGATCTGTTTTGATGTGTCCAGAGTGGGAGTATATGGGGAGGAAGGTGGATAACTGAGGTTTTACCACTGTGCAAACCCTTCAAAACTCTACAAGTTTATATTTTCTCAGTCGTGTTTTACTCAGAAACACACGGTTCTAGGCCTAATGAAAATGTTTCATGCGGACCCTGCTTTTCCAGCAGCCCAATCAAGAGTGGTGCAGGGATTCAGGGAGAACTTCTTCATTAGCAGAAGAAAATGAGATAAATGAAGAATAATGCTCAATGTTAAAAATAAATTAAAATTAATTAATCACTGACTAATGCAATGGTCCCAATATTAATCATTCAGTATTATTGTAATCAGAACATCGGCCAGGGAAGCCATATGAGAAGCTCTGGGCTGTGATGTTTGTCACAATCCTGCTGAAAACATGAAGGTTGCCTACTTAAAATCCTCTCTGCCCAGGACCTGCTCCCCTCTGCTGGCACCTCTGCATCCATTGTGGAGCCCTGGGCAAGTTCCTGCCCTGCTGGCTGCTGGTCCCAGCTGCTGCAGTGGAGGAAGGGAAAATTAAATCCTTTAGATGTGACCAAATATATGTTTGGTTAATTGAAATAAGTGTGTAGAAATGCTCTATTTAATGATTTCTTTTTGAACCCACACAAAACATCACCAAAATTCTGCTCTGACTGTATGACTTCATGTTGCATTCAGATGTCCTGTAAGAGGTGCTGGTAGAGAAACCAATATATGCTCTGAATACTGAAGTGATTTAAACAGCCAAAAGTGCTTAATATTTTATGGGCAGAGGAAAAAGACTTTTAAAAAAAAACAACCCAAAAGGTCTCCTAAGTAATATAAGCGCTGGAGCAAATTCTGTCGGAGTTTCTCTTTCTGCAGTAGTGCAGAATCTGATCCTGTTGATTTCAAGCTGAAAAAGTAGCTGTTTACAAGTTGGAATACAAGCACTTGCCACATATTAAAAAATCATAGTTCTTCTGTCCTTTTATTTATAATTAATGGTGCTGCACTGGGCTATCGCAGCACAGCTCTGGGTGCTCATGCAATTAGCAGCACCCGTGAAGTCAGCATGCTAACTGTTGCACTTAATATAACGCCATCCAATGGGGTGATGAATTAAGCTGATCAGCAGCTGAGCAGGCTCTGTGGGCTGCATTGTACAAAGGAGAAGAGAGCAATCCCAAAATCGCTGTCGTGGTGAACACAGACACCAGCAAATTAGGAACGTGAATTATTGCAGAGGTGCTCAGTGTTCTCTGTGCAACCCTGAGCTAGATGAGAAATCAAGAACCACAGTAAATCAACATTATTGATTTATTTGTGCGTTGAGAGTGGTCCCCAAGCTTTGCTGGCCCATAGGCAAAGCAGTGAGCGAAGAAATCACACTTCTTTGCTGCCAGCCTCAATTTTAACTTCTTTAACGTTCTGTGTCTGGAACGTGTGTCAACAAGTGCCTGTGTCGTTCATAATTGCGGGTTGTTTGCATGACTTCTCTTTGCCTGCTACGTCTGCAGCAGCAGCTCTGCTTTGCAGCCCTGCTTTGGCTGCGGCACGCAGCCTGCGTCCCTTCGGACTGCTGTGCTGGCGCTGCCTGCCCTGACCTCTGTGGGCAGGGAAGGCACTGAGCCCACGCTGTAACACTGCCTCTGCTGAGAAGGCAGGAGGACTAATGAATACCCACAGAAATGCTGAGTGGAGGGAGTATGCAGGAGATACTTGGGCTGAGGCATGAAATACTGACCTTGCCACAGCCTAACGATTTAAAATCATTATATATGATCATGTTTGTTTATATCTCAAGTCTTTTTTCCCCTTTCTTTGGCATCTCGAGTGAGAATTATGGAAGGCTCCTTAAATTAAGGAGAAGTCCCAGACTGTTACTCAAACAGTTGCATAATGTGTTTGGGGATTAACGTACTGTCAGCTTGGTAACTGCTCCACAGCCTTTGTTATCAGGGAGAAAATAACCCTAGACAATATCCCAGTCTGTTATACAAAGTAACCCACCGTCTTCCCACAAACAGAGGAAGGCTCCCTCTGGCTTCCAGCCACAACAGGTCTGGATTTCAGTTCTGCTGAATTCAGCATCCAAAGTGACCCAGTGGTGCTCAGCAGAATGCCAATGAAAGGCAACAGTGAGGAGTGGTTGGTGTGGGTTGCAGTGAGTTGTGTGAAAGGAGGAAATGTAATTGTGAACATGTATGCCTTTGTTCTAATTTACTAACTTTGTCTAGTTTTACAACTTTCCGCTCGATTTCAATGGAAAGATTGGTGTTTTGATTTGTGCATTGCAATGGAATGTGGCAGAGAAGCGTAGATGGGTTCAAGGAAGATGAACTTAGGCTCAGCAGAAGCTAGATGCTTTAGCTAACTGCTGTGACAAGTGCAATGCATATGTGAACGTGTATATTTATCAGAAATTATTTTTCTCTACAGATCCCACAAATCAGTTATGCCTCAACTGCACCAGAGTTGAGTGATGACAGGCGCTATGATTTCTTCTCACGTGTGGTTCCTCCAGATTCCTTCCAAGCGCAAGCAATGGTGGACATTGTGAAAGCTTTGGGATGGAATTATGTATCCACTTTGGCATCTGAAGGGAATTATGGAGAAAAAGGAGTCGAGTCCTTCATGCAAATTTCCAGAGAGGCAGGTAGGCAACACCCGTCCTCCCTCCCGAAAATGCTGTAGAAGTGATGGATGTTATTTTGTACTAAATGTTATGTTTTTCTGGAACATATATTTGATTCTAAAGTTGCTCCAGTTCTTTGCAGTGCCTCTGTAACGGCTCCTGGGTGCTCTCTTTCCTAAATTGCTTATAGAGTTTCAGAGAATTTGAAATGTTAGTGTTTTTCAATCGTTTCTGGAGAAAATAGAAAGCCCTGAGTCTTATCAAGCTTCTGGTATTCTGCTGGACAGCATTATATTATGTTGACATGGGTAGAAGACAGATTTGAAAATGCTGAGCTTTTATCTCTCCACAGCTAGAAATTGTTTGAAGGCTGCTTGTTGCTACACATTGACTCGTGTCATGCTGCTGCTGTGCACGTCTCAGATTGTTGCCGGTGTATTGCTTTTCTGTAGCATTCCTCTTGACCAATTCTTTTGAGAAAACTCATACATCTTACCTGAAAGGCTCAGGATTGCTGTCCTGGGGTAAGGAGGCATAAAGCCCTGCAGCATGGTGTGAGGCACACCATGCCTCTAGTGGGATGCAAAATGCTTTTCTGGTTGCCTGAGTGCTTCTTTTCTCTTTTTTTTTTTTTTCTTTCTTAAAGGATAAAGCTTTTTTCAGTGTGCTGGAGAACATCTCTTTTGAGTGGGAGATATTCCAAGAGGACAAGGAGATGCTGTGCCTTATGCTATGCCTGCTCAGGCTTGTGGTATAGGCTTGAGCCATCACAATTTTGTTGACGGGAAACCTAATTTTGCAGTTGGCTTTCTGGTTGTGGTTCAGAATGCAGGGCAGACCTGCCCTGGAGGGGTGCCTGCTGTGTCTATGTGCTCACACCCTTGTCTCGGTAACTTGCTCTTCAGGTGAAATAGCTTTGAATTTCCCCAGAGATGACAAAACATAGGAGGGCTTGGGATGGTATTGCTGGGGATCAAACTGTACATCCACAGCAAGCTGATATGCGATGCTGGATCATTAACATTTGTAAACTGAAACATTTGAAGCAGATCTCTGTGCTAGGAGGGAGAAATAGGCAGAAGATGTCATCAGCGGTGAGCTGTATAAGAGCCAGCTCCAGGATTGGGCACAGATGTATCCTGGTGTGACAGGGAGGATCAGCAATGTGTCCTCACTCTATAAGAACAAGCCCTGTTGCACTGCCTGCAGGAAGTGGCAGGTGTCCCATCCTGCAGCTGCCCTGCCATCCCATTGCAAAAAGCTGATAATACTGAGCCAGAATTCAGTCTTGAATGACAGGATTCACTGGGCAGGTGGGGAAGGGGCTGTTGGTATGGAGTGAGGGGGCCTGGACAGGACAGTGATGCCCTGTAGCACCCATTGCATGTGCTGGGTCCTGCAGCCAGTGCCAGGGCTGCAGGGGGTGGGGGAAGGAGCTTTGGAGGGGTGTCAGAGCTGTTGTGTTCTGTTGGTATCATGTAGTGAGGCTGTATTTGCATGAATTTGTCTGTTCATTTGAATGTGTATTTATGCAGTATTAAAGAAAATGGTTTGGGATTTAATACCATAGGAAGTGATAAACACCAGCGTTCGTTATAATTTAAAATTTACTTTATTTGCAAATATCCACTGTTGCAAAATCTTACAAGAAATGCGTTCTCTACGTCAAGGACAAACTCTAGCTGAATAATACTCTATCACTTCATAGACTTTGACAGAATTAACTTAATGACTGGAGCTGCTAATGCAGTCAACTTGTAAGTCAACGTTCTTAAAGAATAAAGCATAAACCCACAAGAACGCCCTGCATAAAGCAGCTTTGTGTGCAGGGTGATGTAGGCTTTGCCTGCCACAGCTCTGTGTCGTGCAGATAAAGACTGGGTGAGGTTCTGAGAGTCTCTGTCAGCACGCTCCTGCTCTTCTAGAGGCCAGAAATGTACCAGGAGGTCCTGCCTCCAGGTGCCTCGTGGAATGTGGAATCACAGAACCACGGCGTGGTTGGTTGGAAAGGACCATAAAGCCCCCCCTGCTGCCCCCCTGCTGCCATGGAGCTCTGCTGCTGGTGTCTGTGGGCAATGCCCAGGGGCTGTGCAGCTCGTGCCAAAGCCTGAGATGTGCGGGCTGTTGTCACCTGCAGCCAGCTGCCTCGTATCTCATAATCAGCGTGGTTTGGCACAGAAGGGTTTAGTCCATAGGTACCAGCACGCTTCCTGTCTTTGGAATCCAGAGCAAGCTAATTATCCTAAATTCAGCTTTCCGTCCAGACTGGTTTCGGATTCAGCCAAGATCTTAGGAATGGCAAGGATGAGTAGAAAGCATTATCCATGCTCAGTGTTTAAATGTGCTCTGGTATATAACGACTTTGCTTGATCCTTTGAGTTAATAATTCTTCACAAAGTGACTTTTATTATGAGCGCTTCAAGCGAGTTTGAATATGTCATTGTGGCAGGGGAGGAGGATTTGAAACATGCTCTGCAGTCTGTGGGATTAATAAATTAGAGAATGCTCTAATTACGGAAAATCTAAAGGACGATTTCAGATTATTAATGAAACTACTGAATACTCGAATTTCAAAGATTAATTCATCTTTGATTTTTTAAAAGATTAATCTGTACCAGAAGGTTAATTGCTATCTGTAAGATATATATATATATATTGAAGTCGTTAGCAAAAAACCACTTGACTGCCTCCTAACAGATAAATGAAAGATCCAGCATGCATTTATCCATCTTTTCCTCTCCCTGAATTCCTCTCCCCATCCTCCTTGCGGAGGTTGCTAGCCCTGCCTGTGGTAAGAGGATTGGAGATTGATGATCCTTGAGGTCCCTTCTAACTCTGGGCCATTCTGTGATTCTCTGTAGTTGCATGTTTGCAGATCAGTGCCCTGGCAGCTTTGCTGTGCAGCAGTGTGTTTTAACCAGGCACCCAGATCCAGCTCCTCCCTTCTGCTTCCCTCAGCTCTGTGCCCATGCTGTGCCCATTGCCCATAGCTGGGGCAGCTCTTGGGCTTGGCTGGGGCTGTGCACAAAGCAGAGCTGTTGTATCCCATAGAGAGGGCTGCCAGCAGCCATGAGCAGTCTGCAAGCCAGAGTTCATCCAGGTGTTGTTCTCAGCCGCTTGGAAGGGATGGAAAAGGCAGATTCTGGAGCAGCTCGTCATTTTGCTTTGTGTTCCAAAGATGCAAAAAAAGAGATTAAAGCCCTCGTATTGGAGGGCTGATGTGATTATTATGTATACTGCAGCTTTTCCCAACAACTTTCAGTTGTGGTGCCATGTCTCTTAAAAGGCCGTCACCACCTTGACAGAAAAAAAAGGTGGAATAAACTTTAATCCGCTCTCGCATAGAAAGCGCAGCATTTGCAACAGTCTCTTCATCTTCTTTTCCTTTTTATTCTTTTTTTTTTTTTTTTTTTTTTTTTTTTGCTGAAGAATTTTTTTTGTTATTAATTAATTACTATCTTTCCCCAATCCTCGATGCCATGCAGCAGCCCTTACATAAGGCTGGGACAGCCTGCACAGCAGGGCAGCCGGGCTGGCTCAGGAGGGGAAGAAGCATCCACAGCCATCCATTGCCTGGGCAGAGAGGGGACCCTGCTGGTCTGAACCCTCTTCCCCTTAATGGGGTTTTTTCCAGCAGTGGCATTGGCCAGCATTTCTTTCCTATCCTTGCCTTTCTTTTTATCTTGTTTTTCCAGATTTATATTTGCTAGCAGAAAACATGCATATGCACACGTGTATGTGGCTGAATGAGATGTGTTGCCCTCACGCCTGACAGATGCAAAGTGTTGCTCCATCAGATGAATCATTTTTTGGAGTGCCATTAAAATCTGTGCATTAAATGTATGGAAGTTGACATTCCACCCTCAGTGTCTCACACAGCGTTTCTCTGGGCTCCTGTAGGTCTGTGCAGCTGTCTATTATGGCCCTGAATCCATATTTTTTTAGTAGAACTGTGCTGTCTTTGGGAATGCCGTTAGCACAGATTATCACTGGAGGACATGAGAGAGTTAAATCATTGCTGGGAGGGAGCTGTGCACACTGACAGTATTCTGAGGGAAGGGAGACTGTTCTGCCAGCATCTCCAGTAGAGCACTGATTCCTACTGCCACGTAGAAACTCAGGATTTCTTTTATCATGCATTTAGATACTAATAAAACATCTCTCCTTTTTGTATCCGCTGAAGCACTGCTCCCTGCTTTTAGGATGTGTACTGTAAGTAGAAGTGCATTGCCACAAACACTGATGTGAAACGTGGGCTTTGGGCAAGCTGCTCTACTGGGGGTGTCCCACACACTGCAAGGATTGGAACCAGGTGGTCCTTCAGACCCCTTCCAGGCTCAAATACTCTGTGGTTCTATGCAATTTGAAAACTGTTGCTTTCCTTCCCGTGTTTCTGAAGTAATAATTGTTTTGTCATGTTCAGACAGTTGGGAAATCTCTGAAGTTGTACCAACTCGTGTTGTGTGCTGCAGTCTGTTGTAGGTTTTGTACTACAAGCGTTGCTTATGTTCAGTTCTGATGCTGGGACAGCAGCAGTGCCTTTACCAAGGTCTTCCTGATGCTGTTTTTAGAGATGCAAAAGCAACAATAGTATTATTTCTAGAATATTCAGCACTCCTGAATGAAATCTTGTCAGGTTTGTGCAAAACACAGAAATTTCCATTTGGTTTAGAAGCTGGTGAACACGCCTTGGCTGCCAGTGTAACCATGAATGGAGACTTGCTCCGTATCTTCACACCAACAGAAATGCAGATATAATTCACAGAAGGGTTCATCTTATACTGTGAAGATCCAGTAGAAGATGCACTGGATTGCAGTTGATTAAATATTGTCCTGACAGTGGGAAGGAAGGAGCGTCATCCAAAGCACAGCGCCAAGCTGCCGCCATGGCCGTGCTCTGCTGCGAGAGGCAACCTCAGTGAGAGCAGCAGGCAGCCACGTCCTTCAGGCACTGCTTGGCTGCTGGCTTCCCACTGGTGTTGGTTAGAGCCCAAGCAGGTGTCTGGATTCATGGGGAGAAT